AAGCCCTGGAACATTCCCTCCCAGAGCAGCAGGTGCATGCTTTTCTCCAGTGTACACAGCACACTCTCCAGGTTAAGGCATATGTCAGCCACAAAATTACTATTAGTAATCTATATTTAGAAAGACTTTTGGCATAAACCAATTGGGAAAACCAATAACTGAAAACATTGTAGCAAATTTTTATTGTAGTTGTAATAGCACGTTGATGGATTATGATATAATTTACACAGAACATTCCTTTTTATGGTTAATTTGGGTGGTGTCTTAAATACGGAAGAAGTTGGACTCCAGGGTTGATTGGAAGCTTCTTTTGCCACGCAACCTTAGCAAAAAGCCCTGAATTTTCTTTATTGTGACAAATACATAAAATTTATACTACTCTGAAAAAAAGATGTATTTCTCAAATTCAAAGTTATTTGCATTTAAGGAAAAAAAACAACAAAACTGCAGTAACAGTAGATAATAATGTAAAAAAATTAAGCAGAATTGTAAGATTGAGCTTGTGTATTGTTAAAGGGTATCGGTGACATCATTCATTATTTTTAGACTTAGAAAATAAGCCTGTATTTTGCCTAATTTCAATATGAGTTACAAGGGTTTGAAGCTATTCCCAGTGTCTTTGATTGTGGAATAGTCTCATGAACACTAGAGAACTAATAACTTTGCACTGGGTTTTGAAAATCTAAGTATTCCCTCCCCCCCAACACATAGAAATAATAAAATAAACCCCTTGGGGTCACACTGAAGCTGCCTTAAAACTGCAGGAATGAAATAAATTGTTTCTATTATCTTTCAAAGGACTGCACGTTATTTTCTTCAGGAGATGGCAGACGATCTGGGCTCCGTGGGAAGGGAAAGTAGCCGTACTCTTTAAGGCAGAATTCCCCCTTGTTTTCCAGATGGACCCAATTTTCTTCCATTTTACCCATCATAGTAGTTGGAGGCATATTTTTTAAAAAGTGGAGTTCTGTCCTATTCATCTGGGCTTTTTAGATTATATAAAAAGATATATTTTTATATTATTATGTCACCAGGCGCTAAGATGTTCTGTGCAGCGTGGGGACAATCCCCTGTGGGGCCTGGTGTGTGTCATGAGGGGCTGCTGAGTGCATTGCATAGTTTTCACAGTTCTATGAGTACATATATTTTTTCTTTGAATTTTCAATGTTTTGCCCTCAAATTCAAGGTATTAATGAATGCTTTTCTTTTTATTCTTGCAGTGTTTTCACAAATGGAAGGTTATTTATTCCACCTGTAAAAATCATTATACCTAAATTCAGTCTGTCCGATTGGAATGTCGTGCTGGCCATGGTTGGAGAGAAAGTCTCCCCCCTGGGAGGCGTTCGGAAGTAAGGAGACTCGCGCTGCGGAAGAATCGGGGTGACGGCAATGGCAGTGGCTTGTTTTTGTACTTTGCTATGGGAATTTCTGCTGGGACCAGCAAGGTCTAACATGATTCATCATAAACTTTAATTTTAGTTTTTCAAAGCAGACAGTATTTTCTCAGTCTTGGTACCATACTTACTTTGAACCAGCTTCATTCGTTTGTTCATTCAACACACTACTGAGCATACACCATATGCTACGTGTTGCGAACATAACGCAGCGTTACGAGCAAGAGCCCTGCTCCCTGCAGTCCCTGCTGGGGGCGGGAAGCGAAGTGCGGTAAGATGCTGCCGCTGGTCTGACGAAGGCTCTCAGCCGGGCTGGAGAAGCCGGGCCCGGGAGCCGGCGTCCGAGTTGAGACGTGGCCGGTGTGGGGAAATGCATTCCGTGGGCCATGGGGCATGTGTGAAGGGGACCATGGGGCTGTGGCTGCGAGCCTGGGCCTTGGGGCCAGACTCGAAGCCACATCTCCTCTCTGCCACTGGTTTCTTTGCTGCCCAGGTACATTCTTAACTTCCCGATGCATGTTCCCTTGTCTGGAAAGTTGGAAATAGTAACAGTGCCTGCTTCCGAGAGTCGTGGTATGTGCAAGGTGCTTCACATAGCACTTGGTGCATAGCGAGCGTTACACGGCAGTGGTGATTACGATCGTGACAGCTCGTGAGGGCTGACCAAGCATGGTGGGCTCGGGACACTGTACCGCGTCTCATACGGAATGCAGCATGATTGCGAGGGAAGCGGCAGGACCTGGGGCTGGAACCTCGGGTCCAGGAAGGACTCGCAGGCCAGGCAACGGGCTTGCTGTCTTGCAGCCAAGACGTGTGCAGTCCCGTTTGTGGGGTGAGAGCTCACGGTGGCAGCGGTGACGATGGAGGGGGTGGGTGGTGAGAGATGGGAGTGGCACCAGGCGGCTGTGACACAGTCTGGGTGGGCCTTTGGCTTTGAGGACACACCTAGGCTGAAAATGAAGAAATGGACGAAAATATTCCTTACAAATGGAAACCAAAAGAGAGCAGGGGTAGCTGTACTTATATCAGGCAAAGTAGACTTTAAGTAAAAATGTATAACAAGAGATAAGGAAAGTCATTGCATAATGATGAAAGTCCATCGAGAAGATGCAGCAGTTATAGACACAGGCACGACCGACATCAGAGCAGGTGAATATACAGTGTGCAGGTAACGCCAGAACTGGAGGTAGCAATAGACAGCGATACACCAACCGTAGGGACGTCCATCCCCCACTTTCAACAACGAACAGATCGTCCAGACAGAAAATCAGTGAGCAAACAGCAGGCGCCAACACCGGTGCAAACAACGTGGACCCAACGGAAGCCCTGGAACATTCCCTCCCAGAGCAGCAGGTGCATGCTTTTCTCCAGTGTACACAGCACACTCTCCAGGTTAAGGCATATGTCAGCCACAAACAAGTCTTAGCAAATTTAAGAAGATTGAAGTCACATCAAGTATCTTTTCTGATCACAATGATATGAAACTATGAGTCAATAACAGGAGGGAAATTGGAAAATTCACAAGAATGTGGAAATTAAGTGACACGCTCCTGAATAGCCAGTGGGTCGAGGAGGAAATCAAAAGGGACATAAAAAATCTTGAGACAAATGAAAATGGAAATACATACCAGAAATTATGGGATGCAGCAATAGCAGCTCTGAGAGTGAAGTTCGTAGTGAACATACCTATGCTAAGGAGAGAGAAAGATCTCAGATAAAACAGTCCAACTTCACACCTCACTTTCATGAACAGTATGAAAAATAAAACCCACATGATCCTCTCAATAGGTGCAGAAAAAGCATTTGAAAAAACTCAACGGGCTTTCATGATAAAAGCTCTTAACAAATTAGGTGTACGAGGAACGTACTCAACATGACAGAAGCCAAGTTTGACAAACCCACAGCTCACATCACACCCAGAGGTTGGAAGCTGAAAGCTTTTCCTCTAAGATTTAGAACGAGGTAAGGATGCCTGTGGTCACCACTTACATTCAGTGTAGTGCTGGAAATCCTCGCCAGAGTAATTGGACAAGAAAAAGAGATAAAAGGCATCCAAATTGTAAAGGAAAAAATAAAATTTTCTCTGTTTATAGGTGATATGATTTTATGTATAGAAAACCCTGGACTCCAGCAAAAAGCTGTTAAAACTAACAAATGAATTCAGTAAAGTTGCAGGATACAAAATCAACATACAAAAGTAAGCTGTGTTTCTGCACAATAACAACAAACTATCTGAAAAAGAAATTAAAAGAGCAATCCCATCTATAATAGCATCAAAGAGAATAAAAGTCTTAGGAATACATGTAACCAAGGAAGTGAAAGATCTCTACACTGAAAACCATAAAACACTGAGGAAAGAAATTGAAAAAGACACAAATAAATGGAAAGGCATCCTGTGTTCACGGCTCGGAAGACCCCACAGCAGCTGAACTGATGGGGGCTCTTTTCCGAGGTGGGGACGCCACAGACGAGCAGGTGTGGGGCTGGGGACTCCAGCATGTCTGGGGAGCCCCGGTCTGTGCTGCAGACAGGGCCGAAGCGGAGCTTACACTGGGGATTCGTTAACTCAGTGGCCAGCGAGGCTGAGTGGGACAAGGACCTCCGAAGCTGGCCTGGAGCAGCTGCACGGCTCAGGTGCCTGCGGGGTCTTTCCTGGGCCACTCGTCACCTTGTGGCAATGGGAGGCCAGCGTGGCCGGATTGTATTTTTCACAGGAAGGCAGAAACATCAAATCATTTAAAACAGAGACAGTAATCATCCTCTGGTCAGTTCTTTTGTGTCCTGGGTCTGCCCACAGGGGAGGGTTCAGGTGTCTGATAGGAGGAGCCCTGTTCCCCGCGTGGGTGCCTGGGGAGTCTCTCCCGCCTCGTGGCCCTCATGCCTGGGCCTGGTTTCCATCTCTCCGTGTGGCCTCCCTAAGCTGGTGCCTCGTTCAGACCCTTTGGTGCTCGGTCCTGCCTTTGCCCCGGCTGCTGTTGGTGCAAATTCTCCTTGGCCCCGTGCGCCATGGCTGTAGAGTACCTGGGCCTGCACCTGCCCCCAGTCCTGCATCCTGAGCCAGCTTGGGGTGGGTTCTCGGCAGGAGGTAGCGTTTGGAGTACGAGACAAGGGAAGTCTCCAGGGAGAGTGCAAATGAGGTGCAGATGCCAGAGCAGAGGCAGGTGGCCCAGATGGGGTGCAGTGTGGCAGCCAGGGCCTCAGGGGCTCCCAGGGAAGGATGCCAGCAAATGCCACCACTGAGGCAAGTGAGATGAGACCCAGAG